ATATTACACCTACTCTACCATAGCTCCATTAGGACTCATTTAAATACACACAATCATTTAAATTAAAAGAAGCTCCTAAATATTCATCAGGTTTTAAATTTTCGAGGATGTTAAGTGTTGTAATTTAATATATAATGCTAAAAAAAATTTAGTTAAACTAATGTATATTTATGAGTGTTTTTTAATTTAAAAATCTACAGTTAGATTTTTGTCTCTATTTATAGATACTTTGTGAAAAATAGTCATTATATATATATATGTATATATGTATGTATTTCTCCAGTATCTGTCTATATTTCTGAGATGAGGCATTATGTACACTATTCACATTGTTCGGATTATCATCCTCATCTTTGTTGCCATAAAAATATCCTGAGCCGACCAAGCATAGAAATGAATACAATATGAGAACCAATAATAAGGAACGCCAGAGAAAAGCAATTATTGCAAAAACAAAAATTGCAATATAAGCTCTGGTAAAAATGGTTGCTGAAGACATTGGATTTATAATACCCAGAAATTCATACACAGATGTCCTCAAGAACATTTTGCACAGTGGATAAAGGCGTTAGTTACATCCAGTGACAGGGCCCAAAGAGTGTGAATTCAATACCTGTTTAAGGCGGTGGAGACCTTGGAGAGGGGGATTAACAGGAGATAGCTGATAAACGATATCCATTATACATGGCACGTGGAACTAGAACAGTCTACCCTAGCGAGCGAAATAAAAGATTCAGTTCATTCCAACCACCTGAAGAAGTGTACTACGGCCGAAACATTGTGATAAATATGTCAACAAAATGAGGATGATAGTCCGAACAATGTGAATAGTATATATTCCTCCGTACAATCTGTGGCCTAACGTTTAATGATCGAGTGTCAAATGCTGACCTTTTTGATAAATGCAAGATTGGTACCATCAAGACCTTCATCATGCAAACTCAACTACGTTGGGTTGACCATGTGGCGAGGATGAGTGATGATCGCATACCAAAAGTTATTTTCTACAGTGAACTCCATAGTGGAAATATTGGTATTGGCTCAGGTATAAAGATAAACTGAAAAGCAAGCTTTCTTGTGTAAATATTCCATTCAAGAAATTTGAAGAGGTAGCTCTGAAGAGATCTTTGTATCGTTCTAGCTGCCATTCAGGAATAATTCACCATCAAGAAGTAAGCATCAGTCGACTACGGGAAACACGAAAGCAAAATAAGACAGCTAACAGTGTCCCTGCTGCACTTGAATACAATACATTCTCCTGTACTGTTTGTGGTCTTTTGTGCAATTCTTGAACCGCTCTCAAAAGTCATGCCCGTCATAGACATGCAGATAATTCGTGGTCGTCGGAACATCATACGTCGAAGTCGACTGGGAGTTCATCATATATATATATATATATATATATATATATATATATATATATATGAAAAAATATTATTCCTTCGCTACATACGAGTTCTCATGTTTCAAAAACGAGAGTCGAAACCATCAATATAATTATTAAAATTAAACCATATTAAACCATAGACATGAGTTAACGGTTTTTTGCCAACATCAACAAAATTTCTTCATTAAATAAAATTTATTAAACCATAGACAGGTTTTTTGCCGACATCAACAAAATTTCGCATTAAATAATTAGCATAAAAAAATCAAATTTCATAGTTTAATAAAGAGCTAAAAAGCTTAACCCAATCATTAAAGTGAGAAACCCTTTATGAAATCGTGAAAAAAACAAATTGTAGTTCAGTGCTACGCATTTATATGAAACAGACTCATCTAACTCTTTCCGAATCCTTTGTACTGTCCTGAGATTGACACCCAAATATTCTGAAATGTTCGTATTGGAGCTTCCGGTGAGAACGTCGAGCAGGACAGCATGCCGTTTCAAAATTTCTGGGAATTGAGTCATGGTGCTGTTTGTCTCAAAGATGGTGCCCAACTGACTCTACTATACTGTGCAGTCGACAAATAAAAAAGAAAGAACGCGCATGCGCGAAATTAAAGTTATAAAATGGCGACAATTTGCCCATTACAGCTTTATATATAGGCAGTATATCTTCATCCAAACATGTTCCATTAGATAATATAAACATATTATGTCTATTTAATTTTATAATAATCAGTTCAAATTCTCTAGTCAGTTTCTTAATGTTAAGAAGAAATTTACCAAGGAAGGTGCCGTAGTTTTTTCTTGCCCAATTACTTTCGATCTCATCTGAGATCATCCTCAGGAGTGAATTACAAAGACAAGCTTAGTTTAACTGTGATCATTCTGATACACACTTGAACGAGCTCTGGTCAAAATTGTTCTAAAATTTTAAATTTATTCGTTGTAGCTATTGATTTTTTTTAAAAAAAAAAAAAAAAAAAAACAAGCGTCTCAATCTAAGAGAGCTAACCAGCTAACTATTTTATTTATGATCAAATATGAATATGTTAGATTTATTTTATAAAATTAGCTATTACTTGAGAAAAAAAATTGGCAATGTCTACAAAAAATCTCTATATCATTTCTTTGATTTAATAAATTTTTATTTTTCAAAAACTTAATAATATTTAACTTTTCATGTATGCACAAAAGACATAGGTCATTTAAATATCTAAAAGTTCTTGGTTTTTTTTATTAATTTACATTTCACTGTTGGTATTTTATTGGTTTCGTTTAAATGCCAGAAATATTTAGAAAAGGATGTCTGGTTTCGATATTTAGTATTATTGAAGGAACTTTGGTGTTGGTTCCATTTTAATTTAAATTCATTCTTTGTACATCCTACATAGACTGTTGCAGCATTAGGATTCTCAATAGATGAGATATTGCATTGATAAACTGCGGATTTTATACGACATTTATTATTCAGAGGACATTTTTAGGATTTCTACATTTACATAATTTTTGTTTATTGTTGGCATTAAATTTTTGTTAAATGCACTTCAACACGTGGGTTGCTACATTCGTAATGCTTTTTTGTTGATTGTTGTTTGGTTGCTTTTGATATACAGGACCTCAAGAATTTGTAGTTTTTATTTATTATTTTTGTGGTGTACTATATTAGTGTTATCAACAAGTATTTTCCTTGCTTTGCATTTTTTTAAAATTACCACCACAACCATCAAGGCTACAATAAATTTGTTTTTGTAATTCATATCTGAGGACGATCTTGGAGGAGATCCAAAGTCCTTGAGTAGGAAAAAAAACTACAGCGCCTTCCTTCATAAATTTCATCTCAATATCAAGAAACTGAACGGGAAAGAATCAGTATAAAAATAAGTAAACACAATATGTTTATATTATACAATGAAGCATGTTTGAATATTCACTCTTGTTCAAAATAATGTGAATGTGTGTGTGTGTGTGTGTGTGTGTGTGTGTGTGTGTGTGTGTGTGTGTGTGTGTGCATGTTTCATAAAAAACGACAAAAAAGATACTACGGTTAAGTTTTTTTTTTCTTGTGTTCGAACAAGAGCTTTTTTTTCTGGACAAAAGGGTGTGTAAGAACTGTCCAAATGTTTTATATTTCCGAGCACTTTCGGCTATACCTTTAGCCATTATCAAAGATGATTCAATTTTTCAGCTTAATTGAAATGTGCGCATTATGTGTATGTTTTAGAGATGTTTTTAATTTCCGAATACGGTTAGCACATTTTGGCCTTGTTCGTAGTTAATATTGTTAAGAGTTGGCTTTTTTCTTTTTTATTATTAAAGCTTCCATTATTTTTAATCTTTTTTTGCAGGTGGATGCAGTTAATATATTTGTGTTTTCTACTAGTACGTTTCTAATGGAGTCTGGTAAATTTTTGTGTGTGTTTAAATGGGTTCTAATGGAGCTGTGATCAGATAGGTGTAACGTAAGACGTCAGGATAAGCATTTACTCACTCTTTGTCCAGAAAAGAAAGCTCCTGCTCGAATACAAGAAAAATTAAACAAAAAACTTAACTGTAGTACCTTGTCTGTCGTTTTAATGAAACATGCATAAACGAAGGATTGCTGCCTAAATATACAAAATATATATATATATATATATATATATATATATATATTTGTCACCTCCAGAAGTATCCATATGAGCTAAAAGTATTTGTTTGATTTATATATATATATATATATATATATATATATATATATATATATATATATATATATATATATATATATATATATATATATATATATATACTCATGTTCCAAATCTTAACACCAGTTCCAAATGTTTAAAAATATAAAATATTGTTACTTTGTGAAACATTTACATCTAATTAGAAATGTAGTTTATCAATGACGACTTTTTACTTCTAATAAATTTAATCTTTGACTTTTCTAATATTTCGAGGTAAGATTACGGACTTAAATATTCCTTCGGCTTCGCTTTTCTCCCTTTTTGAAACGGAGGTGATTTTCCCAGAGAAGTGTTGACAGATAAAGACTTGAATGGTGAGTTTTCGAATGAAAAGGCCAAAATTGGATAATTGCATGCGGTACAAACGAACAAAATGGTTGAGAAATGAGCCCGGCAAAGAAAAAAACATTATGATCTATACCAAAAAAAATAAAAAAATATATAAAAACACGATTCTTGCAAATTGCACCTGCCAAATATGTCGAGAAGCGATGATTAGCTGAGATAAGATGGTCTGATTAACTTTTGGCCAATCAAATTACGTCGAGGGATATTTTAAAATGACACGTGATCTCCTGAGTTCAAAATAGCATTTGCGAGAAGTTATGAAAACCTGAAAACTGACACACGTTCACAGACAGACACAGACTCGCGCACCCATAGGTACACTATACAGAAAAAAAAGCCATGGTGTTAGAAGAAGCGATATTCGAAAAAAAAAAAAAAAAAGAGGCGAAACTGAAATAAGACAAAAGTAAAATCTTTTGAACACTGTTTATGAATGCCGGAGTACTCAGAAATTTGGCAAATTGAATTCAATTTTTTCCGGTAAACAAAGAAAATGACCCTAAATATAGATAAATAAATGAAAATATCTAGACAGAGAAAAAAAGATAGAATAAAAAGGGGTAACAGAGAAGATAAAGAAGAAAAAAGATAGATAGATAGATAGATAGATAGATAGATAGATAGATAGATAGATAGATAGATAAGTATAGACTGAGAAAGATTATTGATACATACATTCATAGAATGATAGATATCAATAGACTGAGGTAGACACATATGAAGAGATATATATATATATATATATATATATATATATATATATATATATATATATATATATATATATAATATTATAAATATAAATATAAGTAATTATACTCGTCTGGAAAAACCTTAAGTGTTTTGACTGGGAAATGAACAAACCAATACCCAAGGAAAAATAAGGAATATAAAAAAAGAAAGAACTAAGAACATGTAATTGAGGCGAAAACAATCGTCCAGAATCCAAGCTCAGAGTCCAAAGAAGAAAAACCTCCAACACGAGTAAGCAAAAATAACTAACCGGCGTACTCTGATGATCCGTGTGGGTGAAACCTAGGTATGTTTGGCTGGCTCTTTAGGTTCATACTTATAGATAGATAGATAGATAGATAGATAGATAGATAGATAGATAGATAGATAAAGATAGATGGATAGGTTGGAAGAATATGAGATATGTAGATACATATGAAGAGACTAAGATAAATATGAGGAGATAGATAGATAGATAGATAGATAGATAGATAGATAGGAAGCAACAGATTGTAATAGATAGATAGATAGATAGATAGATAGAAAGCAACAGACTGTAATAGATAGATAGGAAGCAACAGACTGTAATAGATAGATAGATAGATAGATAGATAGATAGGAAGCAACAGACTGTAATAGATAGATAGATAGGTAGATAGATAGATAGATAGATAGATAGATATGAATAGACTGAGAAATATTATTGATACATAAATTCATAGAATGATAGATTTCAATAGACTTAGGTAGACATATATGAAGAGACTATATATATATATATATATATATATATATATATATATATATATATATATATATTTCCTTTGATTTTCATCATTATTTTCCTGTACGTTGTAATTTTTTTTCATTATTATCACATTTTCGTTTTCTTTCTGGGGGGTTGGGGGTGAAAATCTTTTTTCATTATTATAGAATTTTCGTTTTCTTTCCGGGGAGGGTGAAAAATGTAAACTTTTGTTTAACATACGAATATGTGATACTCCTGACTCCTCAATATCTTCCGATAGTTTTTGTAGTGTTAATCCAGGTTCATTTTGCAGTTTTGAAAGCATTCTTTTGCGCATTTCTCTATCCTTTGCTGAGACTAACCCTTGTACAAAAATAAGACACTTGAAATTGTCCGGGGTTAATTCTGCCAACTTGAAATCGTCGCAATATTTATTTACGATTGCGGCGAACGTAGAATAGTCCTCATTTTCATCCTTTACGAGGTAAAGACGTTTCCACCTTTTGTGAAAGAGTGACGTCTTCGGGATGAAAAGCTCCGTCAGGCATGTAACTGCTTCATCAAACGTTAAATCATTTGTCTTCTTTGGCAAAATGTAATCCACGAATTGTGTGTATTCTTCCGTTCCTAATTTTCTGAGTAATAGTCGTAGCTTTTTAGCTTCTGTCCAGTTTTGACAATCGATGTTGAAGATGTCTTCATGACGTCTGAAAAAGTCCCCGAAATTTTTATCTTCTTCTAGAGAATATTTTGATTGTTTATATCGTGTCCCATACTGCGTCTTGAGAAAAAGTCGCCTCTTTTTCAATGTTTTGTTGCTGTGTATTACTCGCTACTTTTACAATTAGCTCCTGGAGTTGTAATTGTCTTTCTTCATTTTGCATTTGTCTTTCATGATTTTCCTTCTGCGTTTGTAGTAATATTTTTTCCATTCTTTCTTGGAATTGTAATTGTTGTTTATTTTGGGGTTTAACAAGTTCTACTAAAATACTTTTAAAATCCTCCATGGTAAGAGTCTTACGAAAAAACTCGATTTTCCGTATTTTAATCCTCGTAACTCTTTGCTACCTAGTTGTTGTGGATACTGACAAAAACGGCAATTTTCTCTTTTGGGTCTCCGAGGAATGCAAATTCTTGTCGCCCAAGCTGTTGTGGTGAGAAGAGAGAATTTTTCTTTCCGTGTAGGTCCAAATTTCTCGACACCAAGTTGTTGTGGTCGGCAAGGAAGAATTTTTCTTTGTACTCTTCCTGTGTGAGTTCGAATTTCCTCGTCGCCAAAGTTGTTGTGGTCGACAGATAGATAGTATATAATATTTCAAGGTAAGATCACGGACTTAAATATTCCTTCGACTTCGCTTTTCTCCCTTCTTGACTTGAATGGTGAGTTTTCGAATGAAAAGGCCAAAATTGGATAATTGCATGCTGTACAAACGAAAAAAAAAAAAGAATGACAAATGAGATCTATACCAACGTTTCTTATCAAGTGATGGTGTTCCATCACTTGATAAGACACCAGAAGTTTTGACACAAAATGGCTATTTTTGTAGTGATTTTATAATATATTTATGTTATAATTTTCTAATAAATGATTATATATATATATATATCAATTACTGTTTTTAAACTACAAATTTTCCATGATTTTCCTTGCACGCTCATATCTATGAAATTTCTCGGACTTTCAGACCGGTAAATGTTGTTAATACTGTTTATTATAAAACAGAGCATTTACTTAAATATCTGTATCGATAAAAAGAACGCATAAACAGAAAATATATTAAAATAATTGTCAGACATAGTCCATTTCATAATATCTAAATTTGTACAAATCCATCTATCTATCTATCTATCTATCTACCTATCTATCTATGTCAATTTGTATAAATCTATGTCTGTACCAATCTATCTATAGATATATATTATCTCACTGTCTCTTGTCCTCTCTCTCGCCCTCTCTCTCTCTCTCGCCCTCTCTCTCTCTCTCGCCCTCTCTCTCTCTCTCGCCCTCTCTCTCTCTCTCTCTATACATATATATTTATATATATATATATATATATATAAATATGTGTATATATTTATATATATATATATATATTCTGCCCATATCTATCTATCCTTATATATGTTCATTTTCCTATCATATATATATATATATATAGGTTGCCAACTCGTGTCTGAGTACGGGCATTACTACATTACTGCATATCTTTTACTGATGTGCTGAACGAATGTGGCTCTTAAGCCCAGCAAGGGACCTACATATTCTGGCACAAACAGGGCGCTTAAGAGGTCCGAAAGCGGATGATACATTATCATACAATTTAAAATGTCGCATGAAACCGCTTCTGAACCTGCATGTCTTAGCACAAATATCACATTTGCCGGACGTCTACGGCTTTATAATCAATTGCCACCTTCTGCTGGTTCGCTCTCAATTGACTTCTTAGACCAGCCATTGATATACACACGCTACCACAATTTGTTCCTGCGGGTGTCATCGGGAAGCTCAACGGGGACGCCTTTACGCACATCTCTTTTAAGCTTTCCGTGCCTCCTCTTCTCATCTTCAAAGTGACAAAGACATGCTTCATCTTGTCCAGGAAACGATTGTATTTTTTTAAGTGAAAAAAAAAAACTGCCTGGGGAAACCTTCGCTCGTTGATGGAATTTGTGGTAGTGGTAAAGGTTAGTATTTGTAATATTTGTATATATTTATGTTTGTAATGTATATATATATATATATATATATATATATATATATAAAAGAGTGTGAGTTCAATACCCGGTTAAGGCAGTGGAGATTAACAGGAGATAACTGATAGCTGGCACGTGGAACTAGAACAGTCTACCCCAGTGAGAAATACAACGGCCGAAACTTTGTAATAAATATGGTGACAAAGATGAGGACAATAGTCCAAATAATGTACATAATACCTCATCTCAGAAATATAGCCAGATAGACATACACACACACACATACATATATATATATATATATATATATATATATATATATATATATATATATATATCTGTGTGTGTGTGTTTTGAAATATAAATATATGTATATATATATATATATATATATATATATATAGGGTGTCACAAATATTTACATAATTTAAAATGTGAATATCTGAGTAACTACATGTGCTAGGCAGACGAAATTAAATACGCTTCATGTTGAACAATAAAAGATTTATCAAAATTGAAACACGATATTCAAAGGGATGTAGGATTTATAACCGATTTCACAAAGCTTCACAAATGTTCAATTTGTGCACCACCTGTGACACGACACACTTCAAGTCGGTAGTCCAGCTCCTGCCAAACACGCTGTAGCATGTCTTGCGTAACATTCTCCAGCGCCTTAGTGATTCCCCGCATAACTTCCTCTAGGCTTCTAAGAAGAGGTAGTATATAGAGCTGTCATTTCCCATAAGCCCATAGAAAAGAAAACACACAAGGTAATTGTGTGGCCATTTCAATTGCACATTGTCATTATCACTGATACGGTCGATTCATCTTCTTTGTAGATTCTCATTCAGATTCTCAAATATCACAACTTTTCGGTCTTTGTACTCTCCGGCCTACTGAATCCGAAAATTCTAAACTGAACCATTTAATTAATCAGCAGAGGTTGACTGTTTTCTTTCCACTGTCTAGGATTATCTCGTCTAGTTCTTATTTTTACAACTACTCATGGCAAATATTTAAACCATACAATACTTAAGGAGAAAGGGAAGATTTAGGAAGATTAAGATTACCTTCTTGGTTATCCATTGAAACTATAATCCACCGAAATAAAAAAAAAAGAAGCCAGTCCTCACCGCGGGCCATTTAAAAGATAGTTCGCACAGTGGATTGGTTGACATAAACATCCAATCAGATGTGCGGAATATGTGGTCTGTCTTCGTCCAATTCTTTAAAAAGGCCAGAGTAGCTGTTAGCGTTTGATTGAGAGGGGGGATCAGGGATTGATCTCCCCTGATTGGGTCGATTTGGTGATGGGTAGTATGATGTTGAAAGACCCGAAACTCCCTGATGGATCAAGTCAAAACATCACTGACGGCCCCCTGGGGCGCCTACTTAAAAGCGTATTTTTTAATTATGCATACATATAAATGAACAACCTACTGTGACCACAAAGTGATGGATCAGTTTTTATATTGATTGTAATGTATAATTGATTCCCCCATTTCATATCCCCGGTATAATTTGTTTGCTTATCAAATTCTGATTAAGTGTGAAACCACCCCTTCCTCCTCCCAGCTATGGGTTAATTAGTAAAACTTGTGTCACGGAACCATTATTAACTAAAAAAAAATCTTACAATCCAAAAATGTTTATTGGCTTTTCAATAACCAGCAAAAGGTTGATAAACCATAGAAAACGAGTAAACCAAAACAAATGAATTATTAATTAACTACACAGGCATCTGGAATATAAATATATAGAAACTAGCGTGGCCACAAAGTAAGGGATCAGTTTATATACTGATTGTAAAATGGAATTGATCCCCCACTTTATATCCACATTATAATTTCTTGTTTGTCAAATTTTTCCATCTCTTCTCCTCCATCTATGGGTTAATTACTATTAACTCACAAAAACTATTATAATCTAACAATATCTCCTGGCTTTAAATAACCTACAAAGTGTTGATAAGCTATATCATATTATGTATTAGTTGAAGAATAGTAAATGAAAAATGGTTTTGAATCTAGAGTTTTCGTTCTCCAAGACTTGTGGCCAACCAAAGCTGAAGAATATAGTCTATTCTGTTTGTTTAAAACGAAAAAAAAGCTTTAGTAGGGGTCAATTCATATGTTTGACATGGAGATTTTCGCGAATGTGAATGTAACGACTCCAATGGATTTCGAAACCGTCTTGCAAATTTCTCGTATTGAACTTCTAACCATTGAACCGCTGACACACTTAAAATTTCAAACTCCGATCACTCACCAAAGCATATATATATATATATATATATATATATATATATATATATATATATATATATATATATATCATATATTTTCACCCCAAAAGCAAGGCGGGAAGCCGCTAGCACGCAAAGGGTTACAGAGAGTTGGAGCGAGGGGCAAATAGGAGTGATAAAGGAAAGGATGAAGAGAATGATAGGGGATAGATGAAGGCATCTGGAGACGTCGATTGACATTACATTTGAATAGTTGGAGATTATAGCTATCAGGGAAACAGGAAAATGGGAGAAAGTTCCACAGGCGAGATGTGCGAGACATGAAGCTATTGGAGTAGAAGAGACGGCTACATTTACCAGTTTCAACAGTGAAAGGGTGAGAGCGAGATGCCAACCTAGTTGAACGCTTAAATTCATGAAGTCTGGGAACCATCGAAAACAGCTCATCGGAGGAGTTACCATGAAAGTATTTGTAAAAGAGACAGAGTGAGGCGACGGCACGTCTGCGTGTATATATATATATATATATATATATATATAATCTACTATTTCAAATCTTACGTATATCGTAGGTCTGCCATAGGTATATATATATATATATATATATATATATATATATATATATATATATATATATATATATACATATATATATATCGACTTTCACATAGGTAATAGGCTAAATAATCACTTGTGATCAATAAGGCGTAATAGAATATGTGTAAAATGGTCAAACGTAATTGGCACAAAATCGAGGGAAAGTCTGGCTTTGAGCAGGAAAAAAAGTTTGAATCCTAATAAAGGAAGAAGATTGCTGAGTCTTCAAGAATATTAATCTGCAGACAACAAAGAAACGGAATTAATCCTCATTCCTGAAAGTTAATCGACTCATTGATTCTGACTATTACTGTTCAAACGTCATTTGGGCATTATTTTACCAACTTCCTTGCAAAGATTTTTATTTATTTGTTTTTTTCAGCGATGACAAGTCCTGCCATTTATTAGTCTCAGCGTCTTCCTGAATTGTTTAGGAAACTTACTTTCTCTTTTCATGTATATCTTTCCTGTCAGTTGTCACCGTCTATTCTAATATATTGATCTCAATCTGTTCATATCGATCTATTTCTTGCCCTAGATATTAAAAACAGGCTCTTTCTGGTTTGGTTTGCTAACGGCATATCAAACTCAATGGACTGTTTAATGCCGACAAGGTTTTTATTGCTGGTAATATTTTTTTTATCTATCTATCTCAGTATATATTGGTTTGGTTTGTCTTGTTTTACGGCATATCAACCTCAATGGGTTATGTAATGCCAACAAGATTTTTATGTATTCATTTATTCATATCTATATTGATCTCTATCTGTTCGTATCTATTTATCAATCTCAACCTGTTCGTATTCATTGATCTCAGTTCATACCTATCTATCTATCTATCTATCTATCTATCTATCTATCTATCTATCTATTTATAACTATCCATCTCAAACTGTTCATATCTATATATCAATATCAATATGTTCATTTTTATTTATCTATCTCAACCTGTTTGTATCCCAGTTCCTATCTATCTATCTATCTATCTATCTATCTATCTATCTATCTATCTATCTATCTATCTATCTATCCCAGTTTCTTCATATCTATCTATCTATCTATCTATCTATCTATCTATCTATCTATCTATCTATCTGTGTCTATTTATAACTATACATCTCAAACTGCTCATATCTATATATCAATCTCAATATGTTCATTTCTATTTATCTATCTCAACCTGTTTGTATCCATTGATCTCAGTTCCTATCTATCTATCTATCTATCTATCTATTCATCATCTATCTATTCATCTATCTCAGTTTCTTCATATCTATCTATCTATCTATCTATCTATCTATCTATCTTCAATTCATATCTATCTATCTATCTCTCTATCTATCTATCTATCTCAATATGTTCATATCTACTTAACCATTTCAACCTGTTCGTATCCATTGATCTCAGTTCCTATCTATCTATCTATCTATCTATCTATGATAAATAATAGAAAATAATAAATAATAAAATATAACAAATAATAAAAAATAATCAGCAAATCTATATAAAATTATTTTTTTTAATTATTGTTACTGTTAATAATTTCTAAAAAAAAGATTTACCAACCAGCACAAGCAAACACGTCATCAAGACAAAAGCAATAGACAAATACAAAACAATAATAATACGACAATCATAAACTGTTGCTAATGAACGGCGGAGCCACGGAAATAATTCTATTGATTTCGAAAAGTAGGTGTCATAGCTCCTCTTTTATAACGACTCCTTCTTTAACTATTGATGCTTGAATAAATAACATGGTGTTTTCAGAAATTGAGCCAATGAGCTTGCATATAGTCTTTGAGCAAGTATTTTACACCTCATGCAGTCAATACATACGTATAAATGAAAACTGTTCGATACCTTCTGATTATTGATTATTGATTCGGGGCGGCAAGATAAAGATGGAGAAAACATTGAAAAACGGAGAAAAAAAAAACGATAACCATTCCTTGCATAAAAATTGAAAAATTTGTTAGCAAGTGAAAAGGCGAGGGCGGAGGGGGAGGAAGAAAGAATGACGAGAAGGAAAGTAAGAAAGGAGA